TTTTTTTCTATATATGCTTTCAACTCCAGACAAACAAATAATTGCCAGTATTTAGGGCTTCAAAATCAAGATAAATAGGGTGTGACCTTCAAAGAAAGTGTTAGGCATCTAAGCATTCTGCATTGCATTCATTGACCATAAACATATATGAACAAAAGATACCTTAGTATCACCTTCAGACATAGTTACTGCAAGATGCAATCTTCCCATTTTTATGTTCTCAAGGGACAACCACACGTCACGCCTCTGGCCGTCTTTAAGATCATTGATGTTTACAGAACAATTTCTGCACCATTTGCATTATTAGTTTAATGTACACAGAAAAAAATGGAACCTCCGAACAGTAGCTTCTGTGAAAAGTCGAATTAAAGCAGTAAATATTTAGTTGTTATCAGAATCTCTACTCTATTGGCATCTAGACAATAATAAGATCATAAGGAACAAAAAAAAGATGCAATCAATGCTTGTATTGAACACAGTTACATTTTTAATAACGTATGGGATATTAGAGACTGCAAAAAACAATTGCAAGAGACTTGGATATCCAAATAGAAAGCATGGAAATTTTCCTTCATCGAATAGAGTAATAAGTTTTACACTATTAAGCATCTCTTTGGAATAATAATGTCAGATAACTTCATCCAGAATCCGTCAAGATAAGGAAAATTTTCCTTCATCAAATAGAGTAATAAGTTTTACATAATGAAGGAGCTTTTCTAATTGCAACGTTAATGTATGTAACGAAAATGATAAGAAGGGATCCAAGATAGAACAATATCTTACACGGGAGAAGAGACGCCACAGATAGTTGTGAAATAAAAAGCATAAGCCCCTTTATGGAAGTAAGAGATCAAATCTTCATTAAGAAACAAAGCATTTAAAAATTGTCATGCATGATTCAGTATATATATTGAAGTAACAAGAACATACCCCAATAGGTCGTCAAATAAACGGTCCTTGTCACGAACTTCAATTATGAGCACATTTGGCGATTCCCATGTACAGATAGGGATCTTGAATTCCTCATACCATTTTGGAGATAAATTTTTCTTTTGAGTCTTAGTCCGAAATCTGTAAGGGCCAAGCTGTCCCTTCACATATGGATCAGCCAACCCTGAGAATCACTGCCAGTTACAATCAAAAAAAGTTTAGGCATATAATAATCAGAGTTCTTCAAACTAACCATTTAAGTCTGATGGCTTCATGTTAGCTCCTTCAAGAATTTCCACTATGGCATAGGCAATAGGATCCTTGGCATCAATTGAGAACCAATTTCCTAACATATAAAGAGAAATCGGTAAAGTATAGGAATGACATTAAACTTTGCAAAAAACCATCAAACTCTTGTATTGAGTACCCACATAATCATTCAATTTGATCTCAGATTTAAACCTAATCCTATTGAGTTTAACATGTACTTAAAAGAAAAGGTACCACCTCTGCATTTATTGAAGACATTTGCTTTCTAGTAACTGATCATAAGAGAATGATATTGGGAAACCCCAAAGAAAAATCGAGAATTCAAGTTTTTTGGTTGGCTTTCAAACATCTTTTGGGTGTAAACGTGAAGCGATTCGCGTGTAATTCAGATGCAGACAGAAACATAAAATATAATCAACCATTTTGAATTGGTTGGTTTCACATATAAATGCTGCACTGATCAGGTAACTTATTTAAATTTGGGGTACCTGATGACCAAATAGTGTCAGTTGCTCTGTGGAAATTGTTCATAATTACTTCCTAGTGTGTGGTAAGGTTCAAGACCCGAGTATCTAGGTGACAATGTCCACCAATAGACATATCCTATTTGTAAACAGATAAAAGATTTCTGATCAGCTTTGCTCTCTAGTCCTATGCGCTGAGAGTTATTTCACTCAGTGGAGTGCATTAGGAATGTCACATTTTGAGAAAATTCTTTTTAAGTGCATTCATCTGGTTCACAAAAAGGACAAGTATTGGCATCTGTGAAGATTTCCTCTCAGATAATTGTGGAGTATTCAGAATGTAAGGAACAAGCAAAGAAACCCATAAACACACCTCTGAAATTGTTTGAAGTGACTCACAATATAGAGGCAAATGGGGGTGCATACCATGAAAATAGCATTAAAAACTATTGCTTCACCAAGCACATGCAAACATCTTAGCCTCCCTTTGGATACAAATTTTTTAATGGTTTATAAACTCAATCAAAGTCAAACATTAATTTCAACTACACATTCATAACCATTGCTCATTATTGTCCACACATTTCATAAGATCCTCTATTATTCCTTGTTATAAACCATTTATAAATTAGCCATACGGAATCTTATATCTTGTATCAACTAGAACTTGTAATTAATTCTAGTGTCGATTCAATCACACCTTTTCTATTAATACTCATTCTTTTCATTACCGCCTTCCTCCCATCTTTTCAGTGACCTCACAACCCAACTATTAGATTTATTTAAGACCCCAACGAAGGTAAGACAAGGTTCATTTTAACCTTCTGCCAGTTTTCAGGAGATGCCTGTGTTTGGCTCATGTTTATAAACATTCAAGTCACTTTTTATTCATACATTTCAAAGGACCCACAAGTATTACCCACTTATCTTTCACCAATTTAATTTATTTCTAATTTTAACAGTTTATAGACCTTCCAAACCATGCTTACATAAAAGTTATGCTTGACCTTAATCAACCTCAAACCCTGGTAGGAACTGTTGAAATACAGATAAAAAAATGTTATATTTCACTTATATACAGTGCTTCGTCTTTCTTTTTCGAGAACGGTTTATCGGATAATGAGTTCATCAGTCCATTCACACCTGTGCATCTATTAGACTCTCCCCTAAGGACAATTGCCAAGTTTCAATTAACATGTCTATGCTTTCCCTGATTTGCTACTTACAAATCCTATTATCACTTAATTGATTAGTATATCATGAAGCAATGTTGTTTTACATAGAACAGGACATACATGACTCATATGCACTTGTACTAGATTTAAAAATTATATCATGACAAATAAAACCAAACTCCCTGCAGCAAAGAATTTAAAAAACAAATACTAAGTAAAAGTTAAAACCTTGTTCAGGTGAAGCAAATTTCTCAACATCAACAACCAGCATATTGGGCTGCAAAATGACAAAGAATTAGCCCACAAAGCATTTTATGGAATGCTTCTTGCATCTCAAACCTACAAGGTGCTTATGCCTAAATCTGAAGAGGAATATACACATACCTTATAAAACAATTAAACATAGTACAATGAACATATGTGATAAATGTTTCAACTAGGAACTAAACTAATAATCTCACCTGCACCAGAGTTTGCTCGAAGGCAAGGGCCAGAATATTATCCTAATCAAGTAAGCAAAATATGTAAATAATTGGGCAGACAGATGACATAGAGAAAAGAAAAATTTTGAATTCAACATCCTTTTTTTAAGGATAAGAGTTTAATGTTAGACTGTGGATGAAGAGGAAGGATTTTTATTTTGGTAATCGTAACATGTACTTACTATCCATGCAGCTATACCAGGAAGTTCTGTAACATCAAGGCCGTGAGGGAATATAGGCTTCACAGTCATCTGAAAATATGGTGGTTCGGCAAAGCATACCCGCAAACGCCCAAGAAAGGGCCAGTAGGGAAGGAACTTCACCCCAATCAAGACCTACAAGAGAGAGTGCATAAATCTTCCTTCCAAATCAGTTGCACTAGTGGCAGTTCATAAATATCGCCACTGGTTGGCGAGCCCCAGCTTAAAATACGAGGCAGATACTCATTCTCACTAAATCTATGGTAGAAATCTTCTTAGAATAGCAACATGGTTACAAAATGTCAAATACTACAAAATTTGTATAATCCAGGATGAGTACTTTTGCAATTAATACATTTCAATTTCCAAACAAGCAACAAAAATATAATGGAATTGTCGTCTAGAAGAGATATACTTTCGACCAATTCAATAAGTAATATGATTCTAAATTTCATGAAATGTAACATATGGCCCATAAAATTTTCTTACGATATATAGAGCTTGATGCACTGACCGAAGTATTATTTACTACATGATATAACTTTTTACATACCTTTCCTTCAACATGCATGCCTAACAAATGCAACTTTGCACGCATTCCTAATCCCAATCTTTTCCTCAATTTCACTACAATAATTGCACTCATATCATCTGCAGTACAAAAATTCATTCCCAATTCCAATACCTGCAGTTAGCTATATATTAAAATTGTTGTTGCAAAGTTATGCATATATAGCTCAAAAACCACTGTAGGTACATTCAGATCCCAGTTACCAGTGACCCTAACATACCAAGTGATCATCACCATTGGATTCTGGAAGCACCCTCATTTCAGTGAATATAGGCGGGGATCTTCCCAGGTACAAATGCTGAACCGCAGCATCCTTCTGCATACATGCAAAATATGATTCTCATTAATTGAACTCAGAACCACAGTAGGGTCCCGGTATCAGACAATTACCAGAGCCACACTCGTAACCATTAACCATCCAACAAACCATTAATCAGAATCAGAACATTTAAGTTTCAAAAATACAACATATAACAGAAAATGTAAATTTAATCCAGCATTGAAATTTTGCAGAATTCAGTAATAAATTAAAATAAACAGTAAATCATACCACAGTCCAAGGTTTATATTTTTGCAAGAACCATGGAACAATTGGGAGAAGAATTTTTTGAGAAACTATTTCTTCCATGCAGACAAGCCAGATCTTTTCAATAGCATGGTTCAACCACCTCACAGTTTCCGAATGCGAAAGTACCTAACATAAAATTACCAATACAAATTACATGGATCTACTAAAATGGCAGTAAATTCCCATGGGAAAAAAATGCTCAACAATGCCACACCACTGATAAAGGGTATGCATAGACAAAACTATGGAATCAGAATAAAAAATAAATTCCACAACTCTTTTTCTGTTCCCTTTCTTCTTTCCTTTATTCACTTATTATCTATTCAATTAACCAACCACCCAGCCCAACAAAAAAAAAAAAAAGGATACAAAACAGAGGGGTCACAAGAACACTTGAAGAAAAAAGACAGGCAAAAAACTGAGAAAACCCAGTAAAAAATTGTATACCCGTCTTTGATTGGATTGTCTTCTCTCCTCAAACTGCAGTTTCCTTCTCAATCTCGTCTCATACAAATCATGGACCTGAAAATCCAACAAAAAAAAAAACCCGAATCTTTACAGAAGTCTAGAAAATTATACTACTTATCCAAAAAAATGTAAGATCGTAAAACTAGTCACCAGATAGAGATAGATGAGGGAAAGAAAGTAGGCAACTGGGTGGCAACACTTGAATGAATCGAGTAACCATAGCAAAATCAGCACTATGCAGACATGATGGATTATTGTTGCCTCCAATATACTACCCATCTTCCGAAATTAATTCAATAGTTCACAAGATCAAATATTTATACATATAGAAACGTATATATATAGTTATTTAGTTATCAAGGTCTGATACATGCACATTTATTAATGGAATACGTTCACATCCATAGATATATCATAAAATAGTAAATAAATTTTGGATAATAAGTTTTCTTGAAACAATATCCGGTGTTTTCTTAAATCAAAATTCGAGATCCTTTTTTAAAAGTGCTATCTGTACAAGCAGAAAAATTGTTCTTTTTTTTTTAAATCCTTTCAGATATTCTGATTCAGAATTCTGATTGAAGATGACATCTTTGGGGGGTTTTCTATTTCTTTTATAAAAGTATAATCTTTAAATTTTTTGGCTGGGCAGTTAATTGCTTCGACACGTATAAGACGTGGGCCACGTGGCCGACAGAAGAATTCAATGGAGGTAATCTGGTGCAATTGCAATTTCTACAATTAGCTGAATAAACTTGTATCTCTATGACATGAAGCATTTTCAAATTTACATTTTGATTGACATGAAAAATATCATCTTGAAAATAAAATATTTTCCATCTTTTGTAGAAAATAAAAACCACTTCTACCCAAGGAAAATATTTTCCTTAAAAACAAGAAAAATTAGGCATATTTTCAAAAGTTGAAAAATATTTTTCATGAAAAAAATAGCAATCAAACACTCCAAGTAAGAATTTGAGTGAAAAACATGGAAAATAAATGTAATCAAACACACCCTTAGGTCACCAATTTATGGTCACCTTCTTGTTTCAATTTTATCACTTACCTCAACCCGTATTTGATGGGGATTATAATTAAACTTTTAGTAGATTTTAACAGGGGCTTAATGCTATTTATGAATACGGGTGTTTGACAAGTCTATGTTATTGTCGCTTTGTTCGATAAAGTTGAATTGTATTTTTATTAGAGATGCTATTTATCTATATTGTTAATTATACATCTTAAATGTGGTCATGTCCTTATTTTTAAGAGGCTTAATTACTTAATGTCACTTAATTAACATCTAGATTATCGATGATCTATGATAGACATAGTGGTGTCATTGTCACGTAGACAAGTGATATATGATATTATTTTGAATTATTGTTTTAATTGGACATTGAACTAATATTAATTTAATTTCCAATTTAACTATTTTATAAGTAAACCTTATCAATTGACTAGATTCACATGAATGACTCTTCCTAAAGGAATGGATCAAAAATGTTGTTGGCTTGGTCACGGATTGAATCATTTTTCATAATGCTTATAGATAGAATTGTCAAATTGAAATAAAAATTATAAATAGAGGATCAAATTGAAATTGATTGACTACTATAGTTATATATATTTTTAATATTGGAGGTGATTAATTACTTTTTTTTTTCTCTTAAAAAAATATCTGACTTTTTCAAAAAGAAGCTAAATTAGTTGGTGTGCATGATAATAAATTAATAATAACACCCTATTACATTGAGGAAGTTTATCGTGGCTTTGGTTTAATTTCAAAATTTGTGTACTTTGACAAGTTCAATTAATGATGCAATTATTTTTGTGGAGTAGTTGCGAATACATACTGCACTGGTCTTGGGTTTCGAGTTTTACTTGACTTCTAGATATTTGTAATATGATTATTTTATTAAAAACCCGTTTAATTCCCATTTTTAAAAAAAAATAAAAATAAAAAATATGCGTTGAACAGGTCTTTTAAGGAAGGGAGTATCAGAAAAAAAAAAACATTAAATTTTTTTTATGCCTGTCGGTTGTCATAGGACTCACACAAGATATTGAAAGTCAAATATGATGGCTTGTTGTGATGAATAATGATTATATTTTTCAATTTTATAGCTAAAAAAAGGGAATCAAACGGGCTGTAAATATTTCATACAATTTACTTTATCTAGCCCATTGGTTGATCATCATTATTGAGAAAAAAAAAGTTACATAGCAATTTTTTCGAAGGATGCATAATTAAAAAATGAATTTTTTTTAAAATTTACGTGTAAAATATGTGATTGAAAATAAGTATGAGAATTAAATAATTTTATTTTAAATGGAGACAAAATAAGGCCTAAGTACTCTAAAATGATATCATGGTCTAGACACCATTGACCAAACATAGGAAAATTAAATAAAGTGGAAAAAATAATTAAATGAAATTGCAAGAGACGTGGAACCTATTATGTTTTGACGAAGATATATAAACTATATTCAATAAACATTAAAACCTAAAATTTTAACTACGTGTCCTAGAACTTTTCATTCATACTTTTCATCAACTTTTATAAAAAATTATTAAAATTTTTATTTTAATCTTCATCAAACCCTCACAATTTAGATATGGTTCGGCTCGACTAGATTCGACCTAACTCAACACAGGTGGCCCCACCAGCCAATAACCTCTTACTAAAATCTATTTTCAAGCAAGTTGTGCTGTCAACTAGCCCCACCATCCCACCTCATACAAATCATATGCTGCATCATCTATCTATCACTTCTTCATTCGAGGCCGCCAGACAGTCGCCATTAAGGTTTCATTCATAGCATAGGCTGCTTTACTACTGTCTAAAAGTATCCCATTGGATAAAATGCTAATTCCAGCTGAAACAGCCTCCCGTGGTTTAGGACTATTCCTCCAGCCGGGAACATACCTGGCTGATTCCTATACCCTGTTCATTCTCGAAATGGCATTCTTATGGGATTTGCTGAGAATAGGAGAAATTGGTGTTATGACAAGGCAGGGTCTACTGGAAGCAATACTTCTTCGGTTTAGAGAGAGTGTTGAGAGGCATGAGTGACCCAGCATACCCGGCTCAACACTCTAGAGTTCAGGAAAGACGAGAAATTCATGAAGGATTTGAAGTTGGAGGTGAAGAATGAAAGATCAGCCATGTTGGAAATCTTGGGTTACTTTGTACAAGGTCTGGTCTCTGAGTCCAGTGCACTTCAGAATCTACTGGGACCATTTGGCTGATCCTGTGCAATACAATGTTTTAACAGGCCTCAAATTCCATTAAATTGATAGAAAACCACTGGCTCAGATTGGTAACCTCGTGTGTCGAATCTTCAACATGCCGTCTTAAATTATGACAGAAGGTATCTTCAGGACTTTCTAAACTTCGTCATTGCTCCAGCCGGAAGACCTTCTCTGTGCCCAGATACTGCAAAGTTCAGTAAAAAGCTTTGTGCATTTTGAACTCTGTCATCACTGCTTTGAACAGGTCATCAATGGCTGAGAAAAACCACCCTGACCCACAATACAGAATCACTTGCTATGCGGAACTTCCAAGTGCATATTTTTGTGAAAATAAATTAATAATACAATGAAACAAACTGGTGTCATGCTTTGACTGTACAAAGTGCAAAAGGATTGTTAGTTCCAGTCCTTTCCAGCTTCCTTAAGCCCCAATTCTGCCAATCATTAAATCCAATGCATGTGGTAGTCATGAAAATGAGAGTTACCGCCAATCATATAAGCAATTTCGTATCAAAATTTCAAGGAACAATCTTGGCAATGTCAATTATATTGGAATGTCACACCAAAATAAATGAGAAGATGACTAGCATTATTATTTGTGTACTAGTCCTATAATAAAACAAAATTTGGATCTGAAGCCCTTGAACATCCACTACATCAGGGCATCGATTATAAGTGCCAGTACTTAATCGTGCGCACAAGAAAAAGTTATCGGGCTAAAAATTGTCTCCATGTGCTACAATAACATCCAGATCTTATTATGGGATATATTACCTAGTTCTAAGCAGCCTCAGCCAGAGATTCAGTTTTACTGGAAGCTTCAAGCCTGCAAGATTACAGATAATAAATATAGAAATAAGGCAATAAAAAATTAACTCCAAAAGCAGTGATTACAATGGAGAAAATGCAGATTAAAGAAAAGCAACAAACTGAGTACAAGTGTGATTAACTATTATAGTGCCTGTTTGAGCCATATTATTCCAAAAAAATGTATTCTTAAACAATGATTTGACATCATTTCAACCACACATTCTTCAATAAAATAATATTATACGCAAATCAAAAAAATTTCCTTATTTTTTAACCACACATTTCCCATCAATACACTATTCAAGAATGCATTATTACCAAAATAATGTGGCTTAAACACTCCCCTAAAGAGTTAATGATATTTTATCTAAAATCAACAAAGGCCTCACTTTAAACCACCTTTTTTTGGCCCCTTTTCTCATGCGAGTTATCTAGCCCTTGTTTGAGCCCCATTTTTCCAAAAATTCATTTTCAGTCACACATTCTATAATAAGATAATTTTACATGCAAATCAAAATTTTAATTCCTATTTTTTAATCACATATTCTCCAAAAAATACTATTCCAAAACAATTTTTTTCTCCAAAACGGAACTCAAACAAGGGCTATGTCATAGCATAAATAGATATAGCCAGGATCGCCTTTGAGAATTTTGATGATGACATGAATTGAATCATGCTTATATAACCCAACAAAATTCAAGCAACAAAAAACCCTATTATAGGTCACATCTCGTTCTTGATATACAATTTATATATAGTATACACTATAAAACATTTCTTATAGGGAATGGATTATGAAGTTCCAATCTCCAACAATATCATGCTACTAAATTATAGTAATTGTGAATGAGAGAAGCAAGTGAAGGAGGATCCCAATTTGTAGGGCGATACAATTTACTGGAACTGTCTGAACATTATATAACATTAACAAGTCAATTTACACAAATACCATACAGCACAATGTTTCTTGCACCCAAGCAACTTATTAAGAGCACATGACATAGGGAAATATGAAAACATTGAACTGAATTACAAAAAGTCCAAGCAGGTAAAAAGCTACAAGAAGAATGTTTATGTAGTAATGAACATTATGAAACATTTACCTTCTAAGTCTTTCCCCAACTTCCATTCTTAGATAGTTTCCAATCTTCACCGCTGACCCCACTTCTTTGGATACATTATTTAATAGCGTCTGCAAGAACAAGAAAAAAAAGTCAATTAGAACTGGGCACTCTAAAAACTAACTCCATGGCACAACTTCATATAAGCAGTTGGATCCAACATCACAAGTGGTAACAAGGCAAACCACAGCAGGTAGTATCGTTGACTGGAAAAACTTCAATACAGTTCCAATTTATTGAGTAATGCCAAATTAAGATGGCAAATGAATTAAATCCATCTAAAAATGCTACATCAGTGCTTATGGGTAAGCAGTGCCGATGAATAGCACTGGTCCAATTTATAATATTTACTTGCATCAATTTGAAAAACATCATCTTAGTTTCTGGAAAGGGCCAAAGTCTTTTACAGTTACACCTAGTTCAAACTTGAGCGTTTCATGTACTGCCAAGCTTGCAAAGAAAAGAAAGAGAGAAGAAAAAGAATAAAGAAGAATTTCTTCTAATTTTTCAGCGCAAATTGTTTGCCCTCACACAACATTAGGCATGATAACTCCTTTACCCTCAATTTAATACTTTGGTGGTCTCACATTACTTAGCAGTTGGCTCATTTCCCAAAATTAATTCCAAGAAAGGTACAAAATTTGTAATAGAGATAAATATCAATTTTGGGTACATTATGTCAAATACAACAAATATATTGAAGCTTAGGACTGAAAGCTATACGCCAAAAAAAAAAACCGAAATTTACAAGCAATGGCATTGATTAGATCATACCTTTATATTTAAAGTGTCATCCACGACAAACTTTTGTTCCATTAGAACTACTTCCTCGAAATACTTTCTTAAACGTCCTTCAACCATTTTATCTATGGCCATCTGAGACTTCCCTGTACTTTCTGCCTGGACATAAGGAGCAATAAATGATAAGAGTTTTCTTCACTGGAAGTACATGTTGTTGCAGGTGTAAAAATAGACAAATAAGCTTCGTTGTCAGATGATGATACTAAACAAAATAATACCATCCTCATTCATCAAAGCCTTTTTCTTCTTGCACCTCTTTTAGGGGTGCGGCATATGAGTTTCAATTGAAATAAAATGTTAATAAAAATCCTAAAAACCAAGAATTGGTGTGAAAGGAAAAGACAACAGTGCCAAAGAAGCAATAAAAGAATTATACCATATTACAAATCATAGAGGTAAGGAGAACATATGGTAATTTCTTTTGTCTTCTTTCGAAATGCAATGTTGAATATTGTCAAATTCCTAAATAACCGTAATATTGTCACAGTGGATCATGATGAGATGCAATTGTAATTAAATTTTTATACAAGTACATACTTGAGACTTGAGAATCTCACGCTCATGGCCTAATGCATCAGAAGAAACATCTTCCTTCACCAAGAACAGTGGCTTTGCAGCCACCACATGCATTGCTATTTCTGATCCAACCCTCTGGATAACATCCCTTGGAGCATTTTGATCCTCTACCTCGAGTGATAGAAGTCCTGCAATACGTCCTACACCTGGATCTCCAATAGGAAGCCAACAAGATCCATATGAGTAGCTCAAAATATTTTTTCATGGCAACGAATTAAGAGGTATGATTGTGTTTTCCATGCATGCAAAACTTGTATTGTCAATCATAGTAAAGAATTGAAGACTTATTACCTGGTTGGGGGCTCTGGTGAAGATAAGTAGACAAGACACCATATGATGGCACAAACATTGTGAAAGCCCCTCCAAGTCTGACATTCTCTCCCATCATTGCAGCTAGTTCAGTAATTGCATTTTGAACTGTTTTTTCTCCATTTAACTTAGGATGGTCAAGATTCATCTTCAAATCCTGTAAAAATTGACGAACACGTCAGAGCCTTTACAGGAACGTCGATTAAAGCTGCAATGAGGCACAAGAATGAAGAACTAATTTGCATCCTCTCATTAGAAAGAGCATGTAGGTTACAAGGAGGTTAATAGTGAAATGCATGCTTAATACCTGAGAATGTAAACGCCAAGACAAATCATGAGAAAGAATATAAAGTTAATGAAAGTAAGTCAAAATTATGCTCTGATTGCGTAGACAAAAATGGATAGCTTTTTAAGGAGATAAAAAATTTAAGACTGCTCACCTCAAGACACTCGGGTCCAACAAGCATAGTACAAGAAGACTGTTTCGATCCTTCAAGCAACAAAGCTGACTTTGCCAAAGATAAAGCCTACATAAATATCAATTATACAGAATCAAAAAAATCTCAAAAGCATTTGATGTGCAACCTGAGCAAAAGATACTATCTCCAACTGATAATGATTTTTCCTGCAACTCAAATAATCAATTGAAGCACTAACCATGTACTGAAAAATTTCATTCCTAGCAACAAAGTCAGATTCACAATTGAGTTCAACAACAACAGCCTTCTCTTTTTTCTGTGCCAAAGCAAGCAAACCCTCTGCTGCGATTCGAGAAGACTTTTTTGATGCAATAACAACCCCTTTTTTTCTTAATTCCTTCTGTGCAGACTCTGTAGTCATCCGATACAAGTCATTATCAATTAACACAAGCGCACAACTGAAAAATAAAAAATAAATAACTAACTAAATAAATATAACTAAAGTGGGAAACTGTAGACTTGCCAATATCCCAGTCGCAAGCAATAAGTGCAGACTTCACATCTTTAATGGGAGCACTTGTTCTCTCCCTAAGCTGCTTTATTAGATTCATTTGTTCTGGTGCAGATGCTTTAGAGGAGTAATTCCGAGTAAAGAAGATTCCAATACCATGGATTGGATTGGAATAATTGGAAGTATCCATAGGTTTATTAACAGAGAACTTGGTACATGACATTTTCCTGTATACTAGACTAGTAGAATAACTATGGCTACAATTAACAGGAGTATTCAGTCTCTTACAGAGCATTTCAATTGGACGCTTCACACCTCGAGTAAAACCCATTTCAATCACGAGATTTTTAGTCTACGCCTGTAAATTCAGCAACTTGAAAATAAACTTCTTTGTTGCATGAAAAACTATTATCATTTGTCATAATATAAAAAGAAAATTAACTTCAGATTATACACATATCCATCTCTTTCTGGAATACACACACCAGAAAAATCAATTATTAAAGGGCAAAACTTATAGAGGGCATTATGAATACATAAACAAACGCTGATATGTATACCAAAATGAAAATAACAAAAGATTACAGCAGTAACTTTATGATTGTCACCTGATTAATTAGGGTTTAACAAACAACACAGATTGTTAATAGTTTAAGACTTTAAATGCGTTCGTAGACGACAGAGAAAGAGGATAGACTGACCAGAGAGAAATACGACGGGAAGAACGGAGCAGTGAAAAAGCTTCAATTGTGTGTGTACTATGCACCGGATTACAGGCACTGGATCAAATTGTAACAGAATATTACGAGAACCCATGAAAAGAGCAAAGCTTCTTGAGGCCGACAGAGATCATACATATTGCATACAAAATAAATTAAAAAATTTACGTCTTTGGGACGATATGCAGATTTTCCGAATACGAGTACAGATTCTAAATTTTGAAATATTTTCACATGGGCCTTTGATAAACACTCATATATACCAAATTCGGTTTAAAAATGATATCAATTAATGGAATGTGAAATCATAAGGTGGGAATTGGGATCTAATTCATCAGAAACTCATGAATATTGAATCTTCACAAAAATAGAAAACGTCAAACTGACATTGGTATCTTTACATAATTTTTCATATATACACACATGAATATATATTGTCTCGGATGAATTTGGATAGGGGGAAATAATGCACTTACACAGTAATGATTTTCAGTTGAACACGAAGAGCGAGAAAATAGCCTTACTGAAGGTAAAGGTTGAGAGAAGATGAATACTCAAAAGGGAGATATAGGCGTCGCCCTCGCCCTCGCCCTCGCCCCTGGTTTTTAATTTTTTAAGAGTTAATTGTTCAATCATCACCCAACTTAAGCTCACGTTTTCGATTCTTGCTGAACTTTAAAATATAGAGTTTTGATCACTTGTTTAGGTTCATATTTTCGATTGTTTATTAAAGTTTAAAATGTCAAATTTTGATTACTGATATTTGAAAAATATTATACATTACTCGCTAGCATACCTTCCATCTCAAAGCTCTAACGAATTGATGATGTGATTGACGGAATGCACACGTGACACCTTGTCGCACAGTTAAACTTTGAGATAATTGAATTTTCTTCACTAAACTTTGAAAAATATTTTCTATTGTTCAATGAACTTTGAGGTGGTCGAATTTTGTCACTGAACTTTAAAATCGTCGAACCTTGACCACTAAAGTTTGAAAAAGTCTTCTATTACTCACTATAAATTTGAATTTAAACACATATCTATACAATAAAATATTTTGCACGTAAATTCAATTTTTTTTCCAATTTTGTAACCACATGTTCTCTAACAAATCACTATTTTAAGAATATTTTTTTTTAAATAATGGCCATCAAACAATGTCTGAAATTCATTATTAAAAAAATTTGAATTTAATTTAATTTTTACGATAAATAATATTGTGTGTTACATTGCAATTATTAGTCGCTTCTTTTGCACAATTTTGTAAGTATTGTCTATACCAATGGGAATGATTACTCAATTACACAATAGTTAAATTTAAATATATTTGAATTTGAAGATATTTTCATTATAATATTTGAATTTTATAACAACACACAATGAATTTGTTTGTTGTTAAGCTTCTGTTCGGGCTCCATTATTTTAAATTATAATAAATGAATAATAATTTTTTAAGGGATGTGTGGTTAAAAAGAATGATTTTTTTTTAATTTAAATGTAATATTATCTTATTGGAGAATGTGTGTTTAACAAAAAAAAAGAGAAAAATAAATTTTCATTTAATTAAAACCAAATTTTAATAACGAATACTAATTAAATCCAAATTTATTGTGAGCCATAGAAGATGTTTTTACAAAAAAATTTGACAAAAACTCGACCATACTCACTGAACCTTGAGGTGGTTGAATTTTGGCCACTAAAATTTGAGATTATCGAGTTTTTAAATATTGATTTTTTTTAAGAATGTGTGGTTAAAAAGTTAGAAAAAATTTGAATTTACATATAAAATGTTTTATTGTATAGATGTGCGGTTAAATCTAGATATATAGTTAGCAATATAAGACTTTTTTCAAAAATTCAATGGCCAAAAGTCTGACATTTTTCAAAGTTTTGTGGCCAAAATTCAATCTTCTCGAAGTTTAGTAAACAATAGAAGAGATTTTTCAAAGTTTAATGATCAAAATTCGACCGCCTCGAAATTTAATCGTGCAATGAAGTTTCATATATGCATTCCGTCAGCCACGTCATTAATTTCATTAGAAGTTTGAAATAGAAGTTATGTTAGTGAGTAGCGTACAATATTTTTAAAAGTTCAGTGTCCAAAACTCGACATTTTAAATTTTAGTGAGCAATCGAAAACATAGATATAAGTTCAGCGACCATTGAAACAATTAATTCATTTTTCAATTACCAATGAATTATCTTCTTCTACTCCTAATTTTTGGATTTTATTTTTCTCTCATTTTTTTTACCCCTTTTTAATGTGAATAAAAACTCTTAAATCTTTTATTAAAAGTCAAAGGGAAATTTCCATTTTATATTTCCAAAATTTATGAAATGTAACAAATGTATCCTCTACCTTTTGTTCAGCATAATCCATCATCAACGATAATGTTTTGAGCTCATGAAAATCTCAAACTCACATCAAAAGGGATCAGAAGTGATTAATTGTAAAAATCCTCAAGTCAAAACATGAGGTCAAACCAAAACTTCATCCGTTGAACTTGACGTGAGTTCGCCGTCATCTGTAACATTATGGTTAACCCCATCAAAAAAGTGTTTCCAACGACATCAATGTAATTCAAACGATCACTTCTAAAAAGGACAAGTGTCAACTCCAACTCAACACCTCACTATCCACCAATCAAGATAAAGTAACAATTGCCTAGACATGATATAATCATGACCTAACTTATAGCTATGTGCTAAGGTGAAATCAATCAGGCGAACTCAACGTCTAATTAAATCTCTTCAAACATGATGATAGCACACAGATCATAGTCAGCACTATCGCTTGATGGTACAAAGGGTAGTAAGCTCTTGATTGGATGCTTATATATAGGGACAATGACCTAGCTAATCCACTTTACGTAATACATGACCAACACACTTTTAACGAGAAATTTCTTTCTTTCACTATATTACAGCAACTACTTTATTAATTTTCCTTTAAGTTGTAACACGTTATCACGTTAGCTTCAGTCATAACAATCAATATTTCATTTATATAAGAAAACTCGTTATTCTTTCGATTGTCATCATTAAATGACATATTACCCTTCTCTTACCACCAAAAAAAAAAAAAAAGATTCTCATGATTCAAAGAGCACAAATAAACTTAAAACAATTAATAATTAAATACATATTAAGTGGATTTAGAAAATTTTATTATCCAATCAAGCTCACCCATCCATGTAAACAATCACCTCGACGCGAGTTAATTGTTCCAATGGTCACTAACTTTGGCTCATGTTTTTTATTGGTCACTGAAGTTTAAAATATTGAGTTTTGGTCACTGAACTTATGTCAATATTTTCGATTGCTCACTAAAATTTAAAATATCGAGTTATGATTACTGAACTTTGGGATATGCCATATGTTATTCACTAGCATAACTGTTGAACTTTGAAAATATCGAGTTTTCAGTGAGTAATGTACAACATTTTTCAAAATTCAGTGCTCAAAACTTGATATTTTAAACTTAAGCGAGCAATCGAAGAAATGGACCTAAGTTCAATGATCAAAACTCAACATTTTAAACTTCAATGACCAGTTAAAGACATGGACTTAAATACAATTTCCATTGGAACAATTAACTCCCCGACTCCCACCCGAGGAAATACCTATAGATAGCTGATAAGTGGGTTTTTACACACTTATTTAGCTCACAAACATTACTTAAACATGGACAAAGTAGTTGAATTGTGACTTAATCTTGTTAAATTCATGCAATGTAGGTGTTTCTATGGAAACGATGGAATTCAGAAGAAAAGAGCCGAAAAAGGACCAAAACGGAACAAAGCGATAGTTCGGGGACCAAAGGTGTAAATATTGGAAAGTTGAGCTAAAGTGCAGAACTAGAATGAAAATATACCAAGTATGAGATTAAGGACAATACAAGACGATCGAAGGAAGAAAGAAGTAACATCGGACTGAATTGAAGAAAAGTGAAAGATGAAGGACTAAATTGTAATTAATCAAAAGATGAGTCGAGCAAATGATCAAGGAATTGATTGACCCAAACATCAATTAGGAGTCAATAGTTGATAATGGAACAAAAGAAAGAAAGAAAAGAGATCAAGAAAAGAGAAAACGGAGTTCAGGGACCAAAATGGCAAGGTTGTAAAGTTACAACCTTGCGGCCGCATGTAACTATACCATGCGGCCGCACATGGTTCAGCAGGGTTTTAATTGGATTGAAAATTTGACCATGCGGCTGCATGGCTTTAATTTCGAAAAAAAATTTGAACTTCCGTTTTTAATTGAACCTCTTTCGGAGCTCTGTGATGACATGATATAAAAGCCAAAATTCATCAGAAGTAGGGCAGAACGTCCAGGGAGAAGAAGAATACAACTTTTGGAGGCAAGGAACACGAACTTGAAGCCAATTTCACAAGGATTCAAGAGGGTTTTCAAGGTTTTATTCAAGATTTCAGATTTCAAGAACTTTCATACGGGTGTTATTCTTTCTATTTATTAATTTCGTTTTTTCTGTAATTATGAATCTTCTAGGCTAGGTTTTCAATTACTAGGTGATCGATGAACCGTTGTTTGTTATTTTAATTCTATATTTCATGAATTTAATATAAAGATTCGTTTGGATAATTTGATTGATTTACATGCATTAATTTTCTTTCGCAATTAGTGGCCAGTGATTGTGTGAGTGTTGATAATTTATTTCTTACATTTGAGAGAAGTGGAATAGGTTCGATAAGGTGTAAATTAACATAGGGTTCGATGGGGGATAGAGATATACCCCTATACTTTATGCAATTCTTAAATTGTTCACAAAACTACATGCATTCTTGTATGTTTGCATCATCCATAGAGATATAGGTTGGTGATGTGCAAGAATAGGTCTAATATATATCGAGAGAGTATATTAGATAGAATTAGGAACATTGAATTGGCAAATTTTCATCGAATCATTAATTTTATGAAATTAGGGTTTTTATAACTTCAATTGGGGATTCGTGATCCTAGTGACTTTAGTTTGATTAATTTCCATAAATTAGCTTTTGAATTTGCATAATTTCATTTACTTGAGTGTTTGAGTCATTTAATTAGAGAAATTTCGAAATTAGGGTTTCTAATTGAAAAATTAGGCTTTTCAATAGAAATTAGGGTTTTTAGTTGAAATTAGGGTTTCTTAATTGAAATTAGGGCTTTTTGCATTTAGATCATATTTTCACTCAATTAGATTCGGTTAAGGCTAGATTATATAGAATTGAACTACTCAATCTCTGAGGGACGATATTCGGACTTTTTTTAAAATCCACTTTATTACTTGTTACGAACCGTACACTTGCGGTAATTTTAAATCGAAAGAATTATTTCGTGAACAATAGCCTAAATACAAGAGAGGTTTGTAAGATTAGACCAAAAAATATAATCATTTGAGAAATAGCCTTTTAACAATAATTTTTCCAAAAATACCCCTCATTGAGAATTTGCAACCAAAGCCACTACAATGTATAAAAACCTTCAATTAGGTCCTCAAAGAAATATAGATAAAAAAATCTTTAATAAATTTAAACTCAAATATTATAGAAAATTTTATTGATCCAAAAATTGCAACAGAATATGAATTAAAATATTTAGAAGAAGATCTAAAA